GATGCTGGATGGTGTAGACCTGCGCAGGCGGTGGGGGGTTGTCCTCGCCGTACTTTGGGACCAGGACGTCGATCTGGCCCTTCATGTGCGCAAACATCATGGCCTTGACCTGCCACAGCGCATCTTCAGGCACCTGTCCGCTGTGTGCCAGTGTCCGGTCCAGAGGCTTCTCGTCGTAGCTTGGGTGTCCAGTGATGGGATGTTCGCCGGTGCCCTTGGTGACAGTGAGCTCGAACTCGCCCAATTCCTTCGTCTGCCCTTTCAGAACTACATCGCCCTCGATGCCAGGCTCTTCGGGGTCGACATCTTCAATGCCCAAGTTGCCAAATCCAGCGAGCGTGTTGTACCAGACGACAGTCGTGCGTAGGTTTGGGCCAGCGTCTTCTCGTGGCGTGCCTTTGATCCTCGCGCCCCAGCTGCCGCCATGCTCTCCGCCAGGGAATTTGATGAACTCGGTGGTGATGTCAATCTTATTCGCAGGGTCGTGGATCGTTTGTCGACCGCCGCTGCGCACATCGTATTCGTCCCAGCCGTAGCCATCGAGCTCGTGTTGCTCGCACGTGTGTCGGAAGTCTACACAGTCAGCAATGAGTTCTACTCAGGCTTGGAATTGCAGACCTACTATGCTGCACGCTTTGGTAGTCTTCAACGCGCGTCCACATCAGACCGCCCATCAAGCTCTTGGGAATGCGCGGCCGGACGCCAAAGTAGAGGTTGGGGCGGTAGGGACCCCATAGCAAGCTCGCATTGGTGGCTTTCTCGATTTCGGCGACCTGCGCGCTCACGAGGGGCAATTGAAGGGCGAACAGACACGTGAGCCCCTTCCAAAGGGTGCCATGCCGAGATTCGCGCGTCATGGTGTTGAGTGAAGCTGGAGCTGGAGCTGGAGCTTTGCGGGGGATTGGGACACATTTCGCGGAGCATCCGCAACTTCCTGGGGCGTTGATTGGCCGAGGTCGTCCCAAACCCACACCCGCTCAACTCCTACCTAGGTACTCAAACTCAACCACACACGCACAGAAGTAGAGGAAAGAATAGAGTGCGCCTTTGACTCAGACTGCGGTCTGGTCCTAGGTTGGGCTGGGTCTTTGAGATAGTACTTTGGTATACGGTATGATTGCAATAGCTTTGATGTTGTTCGCTGGAGTCGATAGAAGTAGAGGAAAGAGACCTCCTCCACCTCCCCGCCTCCTCCCCGCCTCCTCCCCTCCGCCTCCCCCACCCACCCATCGTCGCCCAAATGTATTCGTCTGCTATCATGAATTAGCAAAATGGCACCAACTGTACTATCAGTGCGCATATGAATCTATGTTTCAATGTGTCACCACAATGCGGTAAGAGGCGGACGGAATATTGATATCGTAGTTGTCTCAGTCTACCGAGCTCGAATGCCGCCAAATTCCCTGGACTAATGTACCTGTTACTCACAACCAGGTTTGATGCATTGCAGATTCCTCTGCTTCGGTCAGACTGATAAGAAACCGCGCGAAGTACAAAGGGAGAAAAGGCATCATACCATAAGCCGCGTGATCATAGATGTAGACCCTTCCATGGCATCTCACAACTCAACCAGTCACCCAAGGCGGCATAAGTGCGTCCTGCTCTGCGCGGTTGTGCTTCAGGTGGATGGCTAAAGCTGTCACAACCCCAAAGACACCGCCAAGTAGTGTACAAACCCTCTGCAAATGAGCCATTCCTCCTCGATCTCTCCATATCCGACCCCAACCCCCGGTCTCCTCCATCCTTGCCAACGCTGTGATCCTAAGTCTCACTCTCTATCCGCCTCCTCAACTCCTACCAGGACTCAACGGCCTATTAAATCCACCCTGCCGATTCATATACTGCCTAGCCTGCAACTGCTTATCCTTCCTCACCCCAAAGTTCTTATCGTTCCCGGGTACCTTTGTGTTCTTCGTGCTTTTGAACCCGCCGAACCCCATGATCTTGAGCATCTCCCACTCATCGTCGTCCATATCCTCTGGCTTCTGGCGCTCGTCCTTCATCTCGACATCGGGTGTGCCTTCTTCTTCCTTCTTGATGGGGTCGACGGTGGAGGACCGGGGACCGGTAGGAGGCGCTCTTGCGCCGCGAGCAGGAGGCGCGTTGTCACTTCGCGGGCCTTTGGGCGGTTGGGGCGAGCGGTCGCGGAAGTTGGGGCGCTCGTCTCGTCCACCTCCACCTCCTCTTCTGTCGTCGCGGCCCCGTCCGCGGTCGTGACCACGTCCCCGTCCTCTTCCTCCCCTTACTCCACCGTCGCGCTCGTCTTTTCGGAACGGCGATCTCGAGCGGTAGCGGTTGTCGCGTCGGCTACCGCGCTCTTGGGGACTGCGTGAGCGGTTGCCGCGGCGCTCGGTGGGTGTGCCGCCTCGATCGCGACTTTCGCGGGGTGGTGCGCGACGGGTTTCGCGCTCGAAGGGGTCGCTGTAGGCTGCGCGTGGTCGCTCGTTGTCTGCCATGGTGTGGAGGGGGGTGTGGAGGGTGTGGGTGTGGTTGGCGCAAGGGAATTATTTGGTGAGTTGGGTGAGTTTGGGCGCCAAGGCTGAGGGCGAGGCCCTACCATGGTGCAGGTGCTATGCGCGAGGCTCAATCACGGCACATGGAGGTTGAAGAGCTGGGTTAGTAGGCAGGGTACCACTTCACCGATATCAAGCAAAGCGCAGTATCAATGAGTTTTGTCATGTTATTCGTCATGTACGACTGCTGCATCTTAAGGAGACGCAAAACCATCCGTCCGTGAGAACTTGTCCCACTCCAAGGTGAGAGCTTCCTCTCAGTCTGCTCATGTCACGTTGCCTGTACATCGCGCATCTCGTTCTCCCATCAATGATCGCCGTAACGCCGTCGCCCTACCAGACAGGGTATCTCAAAAGCTCAACTCAAACCTGCGACCAGCGCCGATGACCTTAAACCAAGGACCAATCCAAGCTTCCTCAGATCTCATCCTCCTCCTCATCAAAGTCATCCTCAGAGCCCATGTCATACAGGATGCGACCGCCCTCACCAGCACCCTCACCCTTCTGCGCATCAAAGTAAGGCAGCACAACCTCCTCACGAGCCTGCTTCTGCTTCTCCGTGAGAGCAAGGTTGAAAGTCGAGTTGGGGTTCTCGGCGGCATCTTGAATAAGGCCAGACACGTTACCGGCGTATGCGGGCTGCATGTCGAGGAGGATGACGTACTCCTGCTTGAGAGTGCCGTTGGGGATGCCAGGCATGGGGTCGTGGTAGTCTTCCGGGCGAGGCGTGCGGAGGAAGTAGGTCTCACCCTCTGGTTTGCCGGACTTGCGGCGAAACTCTGCTTCCATGACGATGCCGCGGTTGTCGTTGGCGTCGAGGTCTTGGATGATGCCTTCGGCGGCTTCCAGCATGCCCCAGGTGGGCTCGGGCAGGCTGCGCTCTGCGGCGGCCTTGGCGGCGAGGCAGTGGGCGAAGGACTTGCAGGTTATGATGGAGGTGGCCATGTACTTGATCAGCTCCAGGGGTTGTGGGGCGTATGGTGACTCTGTGGGATTGTCGAGCAGGTCTTGGTGGTAGATGCCGACGAGAGTGGAAGCGTACTTGTGGACGACGAGCTGGAACAGCGCGGTCATGTCGACGCCGTAAGTGTAGAGGAGCTCGTGGAGGTTGTCGATGACGACGATACTCTCCTTGGCATCATCCATGGCTTTGCGCAAAGCCTTCAGGATCTCGTCGCTCGTCATGCCGAAGCCTTGGACCGTGCGGATTGGTGCCATGGCCTGGCCAGACTCGAATGTGACAAAGACGACGTTGACGTTGCGAGAGAGGGCACGGCGGGTGATCTCGCTAATAAAGATGTCGGCACGCTGGTTGAGGTCATCAAGGACGAGCGTGAAGGGCGATCCATTGGTGCGGACGTTGAGGACCCTGCCCATGAGGTGGATGGAATGGCGTTGGTGCTGCATGAGGGTGAATGGCTTGTTGAAGGCGCGCGGAACAGGGAGTTCACGTCTACGCTTGCGACGGCCAGTGAAGTTGCGGTTGTCTTTCTTGATCCACTGCGCGGAGTCTCTAGCTCGGATCTTGACCGGTCGCGGAGCAGGCTCGTTGATGTCGAAGTCGTCAGCGAGCCAGCGATCCTCTTCGACTCTTAGTTCTTCCTGGGCGTTCGCCAACCACTTTGCCAGATCCAACTGGACAGTGCCGTCTGAAGGCAGAGTGTAGGTGGTTTGATTGCTGTAGTCCGGAAACTGGTCAGTCCAGTGGTTGGTGAACTGGTCTAGTAGCAGACTCATGATGTGGGTGGTGTGGTTCTTGAATTTATGGAAAGAAGTGCTTTTGGGGAATTGATTGAAGAATTGGGGAAATGGAGTATAGTACTTGAGTGTAGGTTGGAGAAAAGGATTTGAGACCGAAGGAGCTGAAGACTCTGCTTCATCTGTGCGGCAGGGGGCTGGGAGTAACGAGAAGAGTTTTAATCGAGGAGGCTAGTTCATGGCCAGCCGATGACGACTGAGTTGACATACCTGAAGTGAAGGTGAAAGGGCGGCTTTTGTGGGTGTACGGTAGGTGGATTGAGGTTGGATATTAGAGCAACGACAGGAAAGAGATCTCCAGTATCTCCATGTATGTCCTTTCAAGACTCCGCTGGCTCTGACTGTCAAATGCGCAATATCTCAAAGTCTTGGCAAAGTCGTGATGGTGTTTCTGCTCGTTCAGTCATTTTCGACCACGCTAACGCTCACCACTAGCGGCGTTGCGCCCTCCAAGCCCCACATACCCGGTCTCCACCGCGCATCCCATCGCCGCAGCATGAACACGCGCCCGCCAGTCAACATGAAGGACACACCATTCCTTCCGACCTCGACATGACAAGCAATGCGCCATTATCTTCTGCGTCGTCGAAGCCGCCACGGCCAAAGTCCCCGCATTTCCCGCCCCACAACGCTCCGCGCGTTTGGTTCATCACAAGAGGCGCATCGCCTATTGCCATTGCGTTAGCGCGGCAAGTGCTGGAACATGGCGATTATGTTGTTGCGGGCGTCATGCCGCTGGAGTTTGAGAAAAGAGAGGGGCAGAGTGAGGATTTTCGGACGTTTTTGGAGGATGTGAAGCAAACGGACCGATGGCGCGAGCATTTGAGGGTAGTTGGGCTAGATAGTAGGTGAGTATTTGATACCGGTATTTATCGTGGGGCTTTGCGCATTGCTGACGGGTTTTGTTTTGTAGGGTGGTCGGCCAATGTCAAGCAGCTGTTGCTGAGGCTGTGGAGGCGTTTGGGCGCATCGACGTGTTGTTGTGCGCAGCTAGTGAAGGTTATGACCCTGCCCTGCTTACCTGGGTGTGACTGACATTCCATGTGTACAGCTGTGATCGGGTCCGTAGAAGAACTTGCGCAGACTAGCCGGACAAGAAGTCTGGTCGATGAGATCTTCGAGATCAACTTCTTCGCGAATGTCAACATCATCAAAGCCGTACTTCCGTTCATGCGCGAACGAAAGAATGGCCACATCATCGTGATAACTGGTATCAGTGAGTCAACATCACTTTATCAAGACGTCCTTATCTGACTGTTCGCAGCCGGCCACCTTGGAACCCCAGGCCTAGGAATGTACTGCTCCTCCCAATGGGCCGTCGAAGGCTACTGCGATGTACTCAAGCACCACCCCCAACCCTTACCACCACCCCATCTAACACCCCCCAGTCCCTCGCCTACGAAATCGCCCCCTTCAACGTAAAAATGTCCCTCGTCCAAGCCAACATGGAAGTCAACGTCCTCACCAACCGAATAACCTCCGTGCCCCCCATGTCCGAATACCTGCAAGGCGAGAACCCCGCGCCCCTAGCCCGCGAAATCTTCTCCGGCCTCCTCGACAAACTAGAAAGAATCGACAACCCGTCTGCCCACCCCCCCTTCGACGAAAACACAACCAATACAACAAAATCCCCCGGAGACGAAAGCGTAATGTCAGACACCAACCCCGACGCCGAACCCACCATGGGCGATTTGTTGAGTTCAGATACGGTGACGAGTTTGTATGCGCCGTTGCCGGTGGGGGTGAAGAGTAATTTGATTGCGGAGACTGTGCATGCGCTTACGGCGATTGGGGGGCATGATAATCCTCCTGCGAGGCATATTGTGGGGACGGAGGGGGTGACGGCTGTCAAGGAGAAACTGAAGACTACGAGTGAGGAGTTGGAGGACTTTATTGAGGTTAGTGGGGCGGTGGATATTGCGCAGAGGGATGGGGAGGCGATGGTGGGGTTGGGGTTGGGGGTGGATCATGGGATGATGTGAGGGGGGTTATTATGGGGAATTCGCGCGGAACTATCCATGATGTATATACAGGATCTGTTACACTGCTGCGCGCTGGCTCAGTTGGAGCAACAGCAAGAAGGTCATGATGGAAGGGCCGATGGAGCCGCGGCGGCGGCTGCCGAGGTCGCTCCGCCCAGATTACGTCATCGGCCTTCCACCCAGGCGCTCACACATCGGGCACGCTCTTGCTCGCCTTTCCTCTGCGCAACGTCTGAGGCAACGACTTCCATCCCATATAGCCATGCTCACCCTGCTTCTTTTCTACTCCGTCTATCAATCTGTGCCTTGCGTCCATGTACCACACCCGCCAAACTGCCGGTTAGGTCAGTACACGTCTTCAGCGGCCCCGGATCCGGGTTGCACTTACTCAACAGGACCGCGAGGGTCAAAGGAACCGCGATGACTGCGACAAAGGATTAGCGCGCATCTTACGAGCAGGCTGTGGCAATTCACATACCCCACATCAGCCAAAAGTCCTGCGATACGGTAATATGATGCGGCCACTCATCTTGCAGCTTCATGAACTGGCTACCAAAGATGGAAGCCACCGTGCCCAGCGGCATGAACCATAGCGTCATGACCGCGATCGTCTTCATACTCTGGTTCTCCGACTGCATCAACTTGCTATCGCCCTGCGTGACGATGTTGAACGACAAGCCGATGATGTTCGAGATCCGCGCATTGAGACTTGCCAGCCGTCGCTGCGTTGATTCAAATAGAGTCTGTCGATATTTGAGTGCCTCTCGGGTTTGTCTCCGTAAGGTGCTCGGGTCGGTGCTCGGGTCATTGCCCATCAGTGTTGTATGGTGGGTATACAGATCGTTCAGTGTGGCTAATGCTGCTTCACAGTTCTCGTGGAGGTATATGGCATGCTTGGCCAGGTTGTGGAGCCCAGTGAAGAGGTCCTTCGGCAGTTCCTCTGTCGCCTTCCCAACCCTACTGGCTATCCCCAAAGTTTGCTGACAGTACATTAGCACGACATTCAATCGAACAAGGAGCGCACGCACCGCCTCCAAAGGCCCGAACGTATCTGACACAGCCCAGGCTGTCCAGTCCAGAAGCTTGTACATCTCCTCAAACACGAGCTCGAGCAGCATATGCGGATCTTCCAGCAATGCCTCGCATGATGTCGTCTTCGTCAGTGCCCGGAAGCGGTCCCGTAGGGTGCTAGGTGCGCCGAAACATATCAGCTCTACCGCGGCTTTGGTCGGGGTAGGAGCCAACGTCTTATCGCTGTCAGAACTCGACGTTCGTACAGGCGGAGGCGGGTCGTCTGATTGCTTCCGGATCTTTAACACGATGCCTGTCTTGATCCAGGAGAAATTTGCCTGGCTTTGAGCTTGCGCAGCCTGTCGGCTCTTAGCTTGTTTGCCCTCGACCTCCGTGAAGCCTGGGCCCGGCGCGATCTTGTTGTCGATCACTGCCAACGTCTTACACAAGAGATGGAACCAGATCCACGTCGTGCCATCGGCGTCTTCGCGCGCTGCGAAAGATTGAGAAACGTCTCGCAGGCTCTCGTCCACAAAGGCGCTTGGAATACTGCACGAATCGAAAAGCTCCACCAGCGCGTCTGCTCCCGGTGTTGGTGTGTCGCGAGGCGCAATTCTATGATTGATCAGTATCTCGGATGCCTCTGACAGAGTTACTCACATCACGCGAACCATCCCTTTACTCGCTGTCTCGAGATCTGGTACGGATTTCAGGCCAAGTGTCTCAGTTCCTTCATCAGCGTCATCAAGCCATTCGCAAAGGTCTAGTGTTATGCCAGCGGCGTCCGGCTGCTTCGCCGCAGCTGCCACAGCTCTCCTCCGGAACTCGTCAAAAGGTTGGCGATCAGCATTCAGTTGCCGACACAAAGGCGTCTTCTTAATTGGTCTCATTGCGGTCAAATGCGACAGTGAAAGTGCGAATACTATGACTTGCAGAGAGCTCTCAATACTCCAGCACTTGCCTACGTTGCATGAGTACTTACTGATAGCGGCAACACCAGGGCGTCTGTCCGATTGCACTGCTCGTTTATCAGCCCTCGTCAATCATGCGGGCAGAGCCAGCGCCACAGGTTTCGACGATACGGCCACGGCGCACCCTGTCAAGCGAAAATCTGCCTAACATCGCACTCATGGTGTGATACATAGGAGCATGCGGCCACGGGCCAGCGGTTCTGCACTTGGCATTCTTCAGCTTTGGTCCGAAGCGGTAAACGCAATTTCGAGAGCTGAAGGGAGTGTCCGAGCGAGCCTATCGGCAGAGGCCGTCAGCGCTACGCTATTGGTGGCGCAAGGCTGAGGATGCCAAGATGGCAGCTGGTAAACAGCCGAGCCCCTCGAAGTGGTACTGTACGCGAGAATGCGAAAAGCGGTACCTGTCAAGTTCAATTTTACAGCACGTCGGTATTCAAGCGCACCAAGGACAGTACGTCCCTCAGACCTCTCCGCCGGGCGAATGTCGCTGCTATACCCATTAGATGCACGCATGGCTTCGAAAAATACAACAACCTTCCGCGAACGTTTGTAGTGGATGTTAAGGGTACCTACCTTTTTGAGAAGCTGAACTTCAACGAATGGCCTCATGTTGTTCACCGTTTGTATGGCGAGCGGCAAGCACCGCGTACCGTACGCATGAACAATGCTTCAAGCCACACCAGCGTACTAGGGTAGGCGAATATGCAAAGTCCCCGAGGTTGCCCACCGTGCCAACAAAGCCAAAGCATGGATACCACCCAGTCCGACGACTGATGTCTACATGGAGGGTCACCACCATGTAGTACTGAAGGCCGCATCGATAGGGCCTCGACCCATTCCGGATATGTCTCCTGCATACAGGGTCCACAGCAAACGCCACGATATCGTGAAGTGGAAGTTAGAGGGTCCGAATGCGAGAGAATGGCCAATCCAAGAAAGGTGAAGGTTGAGCTGAAGTCTAGGATAGAGTCAAAAGCAACGACTCCAGCAACGCGCGCGTTCAGGCAGGCGCTTTACCCTCGTGCCACCCGACCATATTCTATTAACGGACCTGGACCTGATAAGACTAGACACGATCGCCGGCCTCAAGGTCTCCAAAGTGTAGGTTCAAAACTACCGCCGCTCAGTTTCACAAACCGACGTTGAATGGTACAAAGACTCTTCGGCCTCCACGTCGATCACCCGCTAACCATCTCAAGGCTTACCCTCCAAATCTTTCTGGAAGACACGGAGGTGGCTTTGATCCCGGCAGTGGCACCTTTGTACAAGCACCGTCGTATCAGCAATCTTATCCGGTACGTATTTGCTCTTGTCCTGATGATTTATGATACCCGCCTGACCTCATTCATCAGACACAATCGCATCACGGAGGTGGTTACGACCCAAACAACACTACTCTGAAGCCTGCAGTTTTCGTGCAGCACCAACCAGTCCCACACCCTCAGCCCACGCTCGCGTCGCAAGTACGTTCCGCTTCTCCGTTCTCCATGCCTTTCTCATAGATGCACAGGCACCAGTTGAATATTATCATCAGCCACATCAACAGTATCAACAACCGCCGCTCCAGCATTCCAACCAGCAGTCAAGCTTCATAAATCGACTGTGTGCTTGCTTTGCCTAGCATTACTCACGCGATGGCGAAGATGATAGGCAATGACGCTCAGGCGTCTGTCCGCGAAGTCGCACCATATGGACATCCCCCTGCCTCCCAAGACGACCATGAAACCAACCAGAGGCGTCTAGGACAGTCAGTGATAGAGGTATGTGGGCTGGAACCCCATGTACTGGGATCTGCTAACGCAATTCAGCGCAACGGATTGATCGCACCCAAGGGATACGCACACATCTTCTCCCCGTGGACTACGATGAAGTGGGAGCGCCCCAACTTCTACCGCAAGCCCGGTCTTGCGTACCAGAAGCTTAGCCAGCACCGACATCGAGACATCTTTGACCGCGAATGGACTGGTGACTACGACGACCGCTACATCTCATCTTGGGATGGAAAGGTCTCCAAGCTTGTCGTACAAGCTGTCGATGATATCTACGAGAATAATACAGGATCTACCTACAGGCGAACCTTCGTCCGCAACGTCGCGCCTATCTACATGCGATTAGCGAATTGGCCGTTCAATCACATCGACTTCTCGCGCCATGGCGGTCACATCCCTAGTGAAGACATGCCGATGCTTTGTCTCAAGTGGTTCGTCGCATCCTGCTTCATCACGATCTTTGTGAGTCCATTCCATCCGCAATTTGATCACCCAGCTGACGACGCGTCTAGATTTCCAGTCCAAGCCCCGCTGAGATCGCGTCTCGCAACGGTGGAAGCTACGATGGCCTGCCATACCAGTACTTCGGATATCCCAAGGTTGCCAAGAACGCGATCGAGATGCACAGGCCCCAAGGTCATGCTTCGAGCCAAGCCAATCCTGTTGCCGAACGTGTGTTGCGTCCTCGATATCTCTGCTTCTTGCGAGAGGAAGGAAGGCCGGCCATCATCACTAAGGTTGACGATTGGTAGGTCAATAATGTTGTACCTCTATCTCATCTCTGACATCCGCAGGCTGGCTCAACATGATGCTCATGACCTCTCGTACGTCTTCATCGCGTATACAGCTGAGCAGTTCAACACGCCCGAGGATTTTGGAGTTCTACATCAAATGGCTGACGTCGCGGCGCGCAATGCTGGCGTTATTGCGTATTGGGTGGGATGCTCTTGCATGCCCGACAACCAGCTGGAAGAAGATGTAAGTGCACTATTCATTCGACGAGATCGAAGCCTCGCTAAC